TGGAACCGGAACCGGAACCGCCGGGAACCGGTTCCGGTTTCGGGTACCCGCTTCCTAAAATATTAAAATTTTGTTATTTAGAAATAAAAAACAAAACATTGCCAAAACACTAAATTAAATAAACAAGAATACAAATTATACGGAATAATGGTTACAAATATTGTTTAACGATTATAAACCATAATAGACTAATAGAAAATGTTCAAAGTTTAATGATTACATACTATAATTGTAAATGTTCAAAACTTAACGATTACATACTATGAAGTGTAGTTTAGTAGAACTAGAAAGTTGATGAAGAATGAAGATGACCACGTCCTTTGAAGATGTAACATAATATACATTTGGTATTAAAAAAATTAATTATTTTTTTATTGAAAAACACTGGGTACCCGCCGGTTCCGGGTACCCGGTCCCGGAACCGGTCCTGGCGGGTACCCGGCGGGTAACGGTTTCGAAAAATTGAGAACCGGAACCGGAACCAGAACCGTTCTCAATCGGTTCCGTATTTTAGGAACCGGAACCGGAACCACTCATATCGGTTCAGGTTCCGGAGCCGGCGGTTCCGGTTCCGGTTCCGCAAACGGATACCCGGTTCCGCTGCTCACCCCTAATACAAGGGGCATTTTTTTGACTTTCCACCGTGGGCATCCAAAATCTCAGGACCGGCCCTGATTCTAATGAAGTCGTTCAGAAAAGGTTTATGAGATTCAAAGATCTCTTGGCATATTCAGACAACACATTGAAGTTGATCAAACTGAGATTGTCAAACAAGTTAGATTTGGACATACGAGGTCTTAACAAGCTTGATTCTCATGATAAAATCATGATGATTGGTGCCATTGATCAAATTTCTGAACAACTTGAGTACAGGAGGATGCTGAGAAGATTTGGAGCGTATTTTGGCCTCCGCCCAAGATGAAGAAGATTTATCTGAAGTTGCTTTAATACAAAGGGAGAGAATGTTATGATTATATATATGTTGTATTAAAGTAGAGAGGCTTATTATGTAAATACCTTAATGGTATAAATATTTCATTGTTTTTCTAGATTAGGTTAACTAATTATTGCTTAATCATTAGCATCCATATTTTCAAGTAAAACTCTCTATATTGAATTCTCAGTCAATATAACAGCGGACTTCTTGAGATAATCATTGTTCTATAAGAAAAGATAAAAGAGCGGAAATTTGCTTGCAAATTGAAAGTGTTAAGGTAAGGGGTTATTTCTAAAGCAAAATGTAGACCATAATAACTATTTATATTTATTAAAAACATGTTAAGGCTTTTAGATTTTTGGGCAAATCAGAGGTTCAAATTGTTGAGCTTTTTCACCTAGGTTTTTCACACGTTTTCATATCAAATTGTTATCAACTCAATCAACTACTCAAAAACCTCCACTTATCTTTACTATGACAAAAACCTCCCTCAAGTTATTTTTAATAATTTTTTCACACTTTTCAAGGTCCTAGCATTTTAATTTTATGTCATTTATATTTTTATTTATAAAATTCAATATATTAAATTTATACAAATACATACTTATTTTGAGTAAATTACATATTTGGTCCATGTGGTTCACACTTTTTACCTACTCTAGTCCAAAAATCAAAACGAGTACAAGAATGAGACTCGTGGTTTACATTTTCACACGCCTTACAACTCGTACATGGTTTACATTTTCGCACGCCCTGAATCCTTGCCACTAATGAAATCAAATAAATTTCGCTATCAGTTAAATAAGGGGGCTATTTTGGTCTTTTTCCATTTTATTCTCTTCCCTATTTGATTTATCAAAACACTTTTGCATTTGTAATTATTACACCCTACCCACCTACCACCCAGTCCACCCCAACACCGATCATCATCTTTGGCATCCCTACTACTGTCGATTATCATCTCTAGCGCCCCCACTAGTGTTGATCATCATATTACGTTCTCCCCCTAAATCCCCAAACACCGCCATATAAACCCCTTCTTCACTGCTCATCGAAGAGCTACCTTTATAGCAACACCATTATAACCACCCACCTCCTCACTTTTTAGCCTCTATTATCCTCTCTCCCTCTCTCTCTCTCTCTCTCTCTCTTAACCATAACCTGGATAACCCCTCAACCATTGTTCCCACTCATTGTCGCTAAAACCTATTCGAATTAATAAATGTGATATTCTCAATAACCATTGCCCCAATACTTTTGTATTCCTCTACAACACCACTCTTCGTTCCCCACATCAACCTTTCATCTCCTGCTTCAAGAATATATCAAGTATCAGGGCTCGAATCTAAGCTCCTTTTTCGAACAACTTCATCGGTTCTTCCCCAGGTGCATGATTAGGGTTGTCCCAATTCAATCTCTGTTATTACTTGTCTAGATCTCGGCTACTATATGAACTCCCTGTTTTGTATAAACTGAACTCCTATTCTTGCTAAAGATGATTTTATATTGGTATGTGGTTTTCTTTTGATTTTAATTGTCTTTTTTACTATCATTTTTAATGGAAAAATAAAAAAGATTTACAATGTAAGCACCAAAAAAGGAAGGAGCGAGGTTTTATCTTAGAACATGATTGTGTTTTGTTGTCAATGGATAGAAGTCATTGGAGATTGGATTTTCACCTGAGTTGGGTGGAGTGGGGTGGGGGGGCCATTGTATATGTGTATTAGGCTGTGTACGTGTGTGTATACATGCAGGTGTGTGTCTGTGTGTGTATATATACACAAAAAAGACAAAATAGGATAAAGATAAAAAATTGAAGAAAAAACAACTAAATACCCCATTATTTAGTTGAGTTAACGAATTTTGTTTCATTCCATTAGTGGCAGGAACTTACCACGTTTGAAAATGTAAACCATAACTCTCATCCTTATATTTATTTTGATTTTGAGACTAGAGTAGATAAAAATGTGAACCACAAGGACTATATTTGTATTATACTCTTTAATTTTTAGTTATGTACTTAATTTACATAAAATAATTTATGTAAATATATTAATACAATATACAACTATTTCAAAAATTCACTGACATTTATAAAGTAAAAAATAGGTTATCAAGAAATTTGTAAAAGTTGTATAATCGTATGTACGATAAAAAAATTAAAAAGGTGAATTTATTAAAATTGGATTTTTAAAGAATCTGAAGAAAAATTATAAAAATATATACAAATTCTTTTATTAATTTGAATGTATCAAAAAAAATATAATTAGATTAGTTATCTATTCATCTTATAATATTTATTAATTATATTAAAATATAATTTTTTAATTATATTAATAAATAAAACAAATTAAATACCAACTTTTTGTAAAAGTTTTATAAAATTAAATTCGATTAAATGAAAAAACAATAAAAAATAGGTCTTATAGTTACAACCTACAACCTCTCATCAGATTCAAAAACCTTAAGGGTGTGTTTGGTATGCAGATTACATGGGACGAGACGAGACAAAAAAAAAATAGTCCTATGTTTGTGTTGATCATCTCTCTCAGTGATTTGATGATAATCCCTTTTATCTATCGATGTAATTTTGTTTCTGTATTTTCAGTTCCAACGATCATATGTTGAGTATGTTCAGTGATCGCTGAAGAACTTGCTTTGTAAATCTCAGAGACAAACAATACTTCAAGAAGACAACACTCACACCAAAGAACCTTCAGCGAATGTCGAAGACTGAAACTGAAGATTAGAGACTGGCGAGTAAGTGATCTGAAGCGGTATTCAGTGATTACGAACCTTTCTACATATGTGTGAAGACTGCTCTAGCTTTAGCGAATGATGATGAGACCTTCAGGTCATTCCAGCATTCAGCGATCAAAGGAAACTTGCTTAGCACGATTGTTGTTGTCTTGTCCTTTTGCACACAAAGGACAAACTCATACCCTTACTAAAGTTAGTACGGTACGGAGCCGATTAGTCGACTCTTTGTCCACCAACTTTAAGCAAGGATGTCTGCTCAAGAGTAGTGCTTTTGTACTATTCACTGTAGCAAAGGACAAGCCTTCCTCTTAAGGCTTGACACGCACTCTAAACCCTACCTTACTGCATTAAATGTTCATTTAATGCACTGGGTATAAATAGAAGTGTTTTCTTCTCCATGCAAGAGAGTATGGACGCGCGCATCTCTCTGTTATCCTATTCTTACTTCAAGCCTCTCCTTGCTTAAGTAAAASATCTTTATTTTCTAGCATTATCTTTTCTTGTATTTGCTAAAGATCTGTGTGTAACCAAAGGTTGTTTAGATAGGTTTTCTTTACCTTATCTTTCCGTAAACAATCTTGTAAAATCTGTATTGATCTTCTCTATCAATATATATTTTAAATTTGAAAACTATGTGTTTGTATTTATCCCCCCCTTCTACAAACTGTGTCTTATCTTGTAGACCCTTTTTGGGACCAACAAGTGGTATCAGATCAGTGTTTTCTCTCTTTACTTGTGTTTTGTTGTTTTGTTGTATTAATTTATCTCTTCTTAGATAACTTACTGCTTTCAAATGGCTTTACAAATTACAAACACACGCACAAGACAATGGCTCTCTTGCCGAACCTC